ATGTACTAACTACTCACCCCACAAGGTCTGCTGATGACCTTGACCAGCCTCTTTTTGTTTCTAAAGAAGTACTTCATGACCATTCTTCATCTTTTTCACTTTTAAGCCGCAGATCTTCTCTGCTTAGTCTTCTGCATAACATCGTACATCTGCTTCCATGTTGTTTAGTAAAGATTTGTAGTTGTTTCCTAGCAGTTAGGATGCTTAGGTTTTCTCCAGCATTTCTTTTGCCATACTGACACTCCGGGAGGTTCCAATGCCAACAGTACTAGATGCCTAGATTTCTAGTGAATAAACGGGGATCCTGGAAGATATACAAGGAATATATATATATATATTTTTTTTTTCCCCACATGACCTTGTCCTTAAGATGTCTGGTTCTGGTGATTTTAGAGGGACACATCAGTGCTTTCCCTTGCCTATTTGTCCCTGTTATGAAAGTTCTAGTTTTTTTCTCTTGTACGATTAGACAGGATAAAAAACGTCCAGGATCTCGGAGTAGGATCTGTTGTGAGACAATTCATCTTTTTGCAGACAATGTGTTGTGACCCTTTGAGTAAAAATCACATCAGCATACAGCTCTGCATGCTGATATGAAATCATCTTACATTAGCTAAACCATCCTTTTTATTTTACTTTCAATTTCTTTTTTTCCACTTCTGGTCCAGTTCTGGCACAAATGATGTAATGTGCCAAAGCATTGCATCCTGGGAAGGTTACATCAGCAGAGCATTGCTGAGAAATCTTTAAAGACTTCTCCTAGTTTAACCCAGGCCATTCTCTCAGTAGAAGAATTAGTCAGGTGTGGTGATGACCTGGAGCAAGCCTGTAATTATATCTATAGATCCTACCACTTTCCCATCAGGTTCTGCAAACTTGCGTATTCTGGAAGTGCGTATTCACAGGGCTGAGTGAAAATGTGTCATCGCATTGAGGAAGTATGTTCAATGGACTTCTTCAATAAATATGTTTACAAACTTCTAGATGAATATGGTTATTAGGAGTGGGATACAACTTATGGAAATTCAATATAGAAATACATATTTATTTACATTTTTTTGACCATAAATGCAAAATGTCAGTCAAAGTACCGCAGCGCTGAATACTGAAAAATGGCCTGGCTAGGAAGGGGGTCTAAACACCTGGTCTTGAAGTGGTTAAATACCTGGAGATGAAAGTCTCAGAAATGTTAGAAATGATTCTATTTTAAAGTTAACCTTTCTTCAGCGATACATGAAAGCTACCATTGCTGACCTGAGAAAGTTGTCTGATTATTCTGTTGACCCAATGGCTTCAAACCGTCTGTCTACTGAATTGGAACAAGTATGCAAATTGGGAAAGTAGGGAGTCAGTCATTATCTGCATACATGTTCTGGGGTAGTGACTCTAATGATTGAAACCAAAGGGTCTGCATAATAGCCAGGCAATATGGTATCTGCAGAATGAGACTGCCTCCACATCTTTCTCAGACAAGGTTACCTTTTGAGGCTAGGTTCACACCTAGGCGATTTGTCCGCACGATATCGCACAAAACTGAGATTTCCATTCAAGTCTGTGGAAGCTGTTCATATCTTTTGAGATTTGCTGCACGGTAGATATTGCCTGTTGCGCAAAAAGGTGCAGGTTCTATTTTCAGGCAGTTGTTGCGCGGTTTGTGTCCCATAGACATCTCTATGCATTGAAAACCACGTGGTTTTCAAAACAAAATGGCGCAAACAAAAATGCGTGACAACTGCACGAAAGCGGCTCACCAGCTCAATCGCATTGGTGTGAACCTAGCCTGAACCTTTTGCTGCCACTGTCGTGTTTCATACAACGGCGGCAGGCCCATTTAAACAGACTCTGTTTACATTTTTTAAAGCTGATTGTCTGCTTTACAGTGGAAGTGATTCTGGTGGCTGAGCTGCTGCCAGATCGCTTCTAGGGACCGGGATAGTGCGTGTCCCCTCTCACCCAACACCCCAGCCTAAAAAAAAGTAAAGTCCTCCGCCTCCCGTGAGCGGGTGCACCTACGTACGAAATTGACAATTGCGCTAAACATGTTTGGTATCGCCGCTCACGCTAGCGTGAGAGCAATAATTTTAGGGCAGATTTTTACATGCATCTCTAAACTGATGACCTGTACGGGCTTTTAGAATGTCGGCAAAGGACAATTCGGAGTACCATATTTTGTCGCCATTTCATAGACGCATGTAATTTTTAACCTGGGCATCGCTTCTCGGCCTTTTGGCTAAGATCAAGTGTAGTATCTGTTCTTATCAGTTTTCGGTGGGGAAAAGAACCGTCCTTGTGGGGGATGGTTACTTAGTACTCGCTGGAGTGAAAGAGCGTGTGGGGCGGCTTCCTGTGAGAGGGGAACCGCTCAGTACATGGCTTTCTGACTGAACAGATGCGAAGCTTGGTCTGGCTCGAGGGTTCGGGGGCGGCAGAAGCCCGTGGTGTTGTGCCCCCTGGGGGTGGCGTCCCAGGGGTGCTCAGAAAGTCACTTGGGTATGGGACCCCACGTGACTCACTGTAGCACTCGGTCACACACCATATTGCTTTTTCTGCACAACGCCTCTTGGACAGGCCTTATGGCTAGTCCGGGGCAATATTTTTGCACTCCGGCCCCTAAGGCCTGTCAGCGTGGTGCACTGGCACTTTAGATTTATTTATGCACTCTATGCGCGTTTGGCACTTTTTTTTTATTTTTAAATTTGACCCACAGATGCGAAAGGTGCAGGTTTCTTCGGGGCCTATTCCTGACGCTGGGAGGAGATTCTGTGCCTCGTAGGGGGTTCTCTGTCTCCTCCCACCCAGGAAGGGGGTCTCTCTTCGGGAGAGCCCCCTTGCCAAGTACTGTGGGGGACCTGTTTCGGCAGGTCCCCAAAGGAAATGGACCATCGGCCTTCGGGTTGGTGGTCCAAAGTATCTCAACCCCTGTCAGGAGCCTTGCGCCCCGGGGGGTCGGGAAGTAGGTCCCTTCTTTGGAAGGAACTTGCACCCTTGTGCACGTTTTTGTGTGCTGTGATTTCACGGTTCACTTTTTTTGTTCACAGGGGGAAGTTTGTTTAGATGCACGTCCACGGGCTTCGATAAAAGAAGCTTCCCCTCTTAATTGGGTGAGGTGGAGATCATGATGTCATCTGTCCCTTCTGTCCGCCTCATCCAAACAGAGAACGCCTTGTATTCATTGTATTCTTTAAATGGTGGCAGTGCCAAGCAAGCACTGTGTTGAGTGTGCAAAGAGGAAGGCGCTGGAGCTGCACCCAGAAAATCATGTCCATCAGTGTATGTAGCACAGCGATTTTCAGCATCCCCAGCGACCCTCCAGATGTCAAATATGGATACTTACATTGAGCCAAGCTGGACCAATGTAAGTTTACAATTAAGATAATTCACTCACTTTGGACACAGATGTCAGGAAAGGGATATCTGTTCCGTTCTGCTCCCATTCAGTGGAGCTGATTGGAACGGATCCAGCCCGTGTGAAAGGGGCCTGAGGAGAGTGATCTTGTAGTCACTACAAAACTCTGCCACAAGATGCTTGTGTTCCATGTGTGACCGGGGAATGGAAAGATACATTGGGGGGAGTTTATCAAAACTGGAGCAGAACGAGTCCGGAGCATGGTGTTTAATGTGACATCTGTTGTGTGGAACTGATTTTTTCTGGTCCAAAACACTGCCGAGGGTGTTTTGTCAGCTGCTGAATCTGTTTCGCCATCTCTTACTGAATATTCACTGCACTCAATGAGAAATGAGTGAGAAATGTTTAGCTTGTCAGCAACCCTTAAAGCTGAACTCCACAACAAACAAATATTGTTTAACTAAAAGAGTCATGTGTATTACTGTAATCTTGGTGTGCTTTGTGTACTTCTTCCAGATCTATGTAGTAATCCAGCATGAAACTTTAGCTCTATGCAGGAGCCTCCTGTAATAAAGACCAGTGACTGCTGATCTCTGTCCTTCTGCAGGCTGACTGGTCTTAACTCCGTCCCCACTTGTAGTTTTCTGCAGGCAGCCTGTAGTGGGTGGGGCCTGCTGAGTCCCTCCCACAGCTCTGCTCTTGGCACAAGCTATGTGTAGCACAGTGATGATGTCATGGATACATCTGGTAATATCTGGGTTTGCAAAGATGTTTGTTGCACTCAGAGTTGATTTATATCCTCTATGTGGCTATTGAGGAATATATTTGAATTAATATTTTTATGCTGGAATTATTATTACTTATTACTCCTTTTGCTCAAAATTGTTTCAAATTATATTTTATCAGCTTTTAAAATCTACTTTTTAAACTGATCCACAAGACAAGTGCAGCCATCTTTTTGTGAGGCACAGTGATCTCTGAAGCTCGAAGGTTTGCTTGTAATTAACGTGAACCAATCACTATCATAAGTGTAAACACTATAGTTAACAAACAAAGTGCCACTAACCAAATCATTTTTGTGTTTTTAATTTTTTTAAGATAAGGGTGTGTGTGTGGTGGGGGAGTTATTTATGCACTGGCTACCAATGATTTGGGACCATATTTTATGAGGAAAGGAAAGGTAATTGTAAACAAACCCACATTTTGCCTTTTTTTATTTTTCTTTATATAGTAAAAAATAAAATATGTGGTTATTAAATACCAACTAAAGTAAGCTCTTTCTGTGTGTAAAAAATATCAGATTCATTTGGGTACAGTGTTGCATGACAGAATAATTGTCAGTCAAACTATCACAGCACAAAAACACTGAAAAATGGGCTGGTAATGAAGGGGTATATACAGGCTGGTACTCAAATGGTTACACCACCTAGCCACTGGCAACACTTATATTTTGTGTATGTTTTTTTTTTTTTTTTAAAGTACATCTTGTATCGTAAAGGAAATACTGTATGTGCATATCAATTGTTTTATGAAATTATACTATAGCCGACTGTGTGATGAGGGAACTTAATTACATCAAACCTCAGCAGTAAGAAATTGTGGTCTGTCTTGGAAGGCTCTCATTTACTTATTCTTTCTATTCAATCCCTTGCAGATTCGATTTCTCCTGCTGTTCAGCCGGCAAGGGAAGTTGCGACTGCAGAAATGGTATATCACACTGCCTGAGAAGGAGAAGCGCAAGATAACAAGGGAGCTGATGCACATCATGCTTTCCCGGAATCCCAAGACCAGCAGCTTCGTTGATTGGCAGGATCTAAAACTTGTGTACAAGAGGTAACGTTTCAGGTCTTCTTTTCTTTATCCTCCATTGAGGGACACAGGATTGTAGAATAGAATATGACATGTGGGTTATACTGCCGCCTTTAGGAGGTTTAGACACTGGCAAACAAAAAAAGTTAAGCTACCCCCTGTATAACCCCGCCTCTTTCTTTCTCAGATTTTTTTTTCTAGTGAGACCTTGTGTACTGTATTTTCTAGTGGTAGAACGTCTGCTCTACAATTCAGAACCACGAGCGTGCTCAGTCTCTGAACTCTTATTTGAATATTTTCCAATATTTTTAGTTGAGGCTATGCGTTCTGCTTGGGGTGGGGAGGGTGGCTACTTTTGTTCCCCATGGTCCCTGTGTGTGTTGTAAAGTAGCCACCGCTCCAAGCTCACTCCTGTGATGGACTACACTCTCCCATTTAGTTTACTCTTGAACGACTGTGGCGGAAAACTAGGCTTCTGCAAGACTTCCCCCTGTATAAAGCCGCCCTCCTAAAATATAATTCCTTCCTCCGTGCTGCCAAACACACTTATTTTGTCACGCTCACTAACACTCTCATCCAGACCTCGTCAGTTCTTTTCTACTTTTAACTCTACTATGTCCTCCACCGCCACCACCCACTAACTCACTCACTGCCCAGGATATTGCCATTCATCTCGAAAAGAAAATAGATACAATTCAGGATCAGATCGCCACTGTGGCAATCTATAGCATGAAGGTCAACCCCAACCTTTTCCATCACAGGTGGGGGGAACGGCTGATGGTATTTGTGGTGACCTGGGAAGCTCAAATTTCATATGCTTAGGTTTGAGAGGTGGTATCCACAGGTTACAAAATATTTTCATCTTCTTCCTCCTCCTCGGTTCTTTGCATCCTGGCTGCCCATGTCTTAGCAGCGTCGGACAAATCTTTTTTTGCGCAATTTAAAGTGTGTTGGATCAAGGGGTTATTATTCCCATTCCTTTTGCAGAACATTTTCAGGGTTATGACTCCTCCATTTATGGTTCCCAGACCCAATGAAGGCAGTCATCCAATTCTGGATTAAAGCTCCAAATGCGTTTGTATGCACTCACAAATTCTGGATGGAATCCATTTGGTTGAGTGTCGCCTCACTTTTTTTGGTTTATATGAACATAAAGAATGCTTATCTACACAATCCTGTGTTTCCGGCTCATCAGCATTTCCTTCTTTTTGCTATAGGGGACCTTCATTATTCATTTGTGGCTCTTCCCTTCAGGTTGGCTTTGGCTCCAAGGGTTTTTTTTTTACAAAGGTCCTTCCTCAGGTTCTAAGTCACATTGTGGTCACATCATTTGTCTGATAAAGGGGCCAAAAGTAGCCCTGAAACATCATTTTCCTGACAGCTCCATGGCGGCACAAAATATATTGAACCCATCTGTGTGCCGCCATGGAGCTAGTCAGGAAAGGAAAATTACGGTAAGTATGAAATACAATTTTCCTGTTTTTGCTTTGTGAACATGCGTCAATAAAAGACATTCTTGCATCACTATTGGAGTGTCGGTGACCCTTCCTGATTTTCATTGTTCCTAATCCCAGACACTGGATGCTATCTTTAAAAAAAGTGACAAATAACCCCAAGGTCATAACTATAGATCTACTGGCAGTTCTTTCTTTCTAACATCAGTATTAAATTAGTGTACTGTAAGAAATACTCTGCCACAGAGAAAATCTTTGTACTTCAAAAAAATGTGTCTGGTATAAATTGGTATTATTGTCTCTCTGTCAATGGGACTATACCATGGCGTACTGGCATCCCTCCAGTGGTCTTATGGTATCATGTAATACTTGTTTCCTCCTCCATTTGCAGGTATGCAAGTCTGTACTTCTGCTGTGCCATAGAGGATCAGGACAATGAGTTGCTGACACTGGAGACTGTCCATCGACTTGTAGAGCTGCTTGATAAATACTTTGGGAATGTAAGTAATTCCTGACTCATACATAATTGTGAATGCATTATATTTTGGACCATAAATCTCACTTTTAAAGTAAAACTTTCCTAAAAGAAATATGGGCTGCTGCTGTTGACCTGCTTCTAAAAATGTTAGATGCCTGGCTATAATGCTGGCCTACTGGCTTCAGTACATACTGCCTTTAAACAAGTATGCAGATCAGGAAAAGCCTTATTTGTTTTCTATCCCCAGGCTAGACACTCAGAATGGAAGCCAGAGGACCAGCATGACAGCTAGGCATATGTAAATTGTAAAGTTCACGTTTGTGTCATGACAGGTTCCCATTATGGCAAACTGGGTTTTGTAAGTCTAACTATAAAAGCATGCTATTTTTTACGCAACCACCCATTGATACTTTCTGTATTATACATTTATTGATCGTGAAGAGACCCTCTATCCTCCCCTTTTGTCACCAAAATACTGTTTTTGGAGAAATTATGACCCCGCAAAAAGCCTCACAGCAGACTTGTGGGAGGACGTTTGTGGGTTAAACAAAAACTTCTTTATGATTTCCAGTGAAAACTGCCGAGATATCTTAATACAGCTTATTACAGCTTTTTTTTTATTTTTTTTTATTTTTTTTACAATTTTGGAAGCTCAAATGACTGATGTGGAAATAAGCTGATATCCAAACTCTGAGAGCAATTTGTCTTTGCCAGTCGTGCTTTAAAGTTGTAGGAAGTCATGGGCTGTCCTCCCCATGCTGAGGAGAGCTGGCCACTCACAATTTTTTTTTTTTTTTTTTTTATTCCTCTTAATGTTTTATTAATGTGTGTGTTTTTCTGAAATGACATTGAGGTGATGTTCTGTTACCCATGTAAGAGTTATTCCTTCATCTTTACTTTTAGACATATTCAGATGAATCAAGGGTTAGAACTCCTTTATGTATGGATGACGACTATAGGACTGATACTGTATGTAAACATGTTATGGTGCACAGTGTTCAAGTATTGATTACACTTTGCACATTTTCCAAATAATGTGTTTGTTCAGTATCATAAATATGAATGTCATTTTATTATGTGACAGGGAAAGTTCTTTCCTGTGTTAGACACCACATAATAAATTCTATTTAAATTCAAACTCGGCCCTTTACTTTCCAGCTCCTTTGCCTTGCTGTTCCGTTTTATTGACCATTCAGAAAGGCTAAGGAGGTAAGGCTTAATTTAACTTTAAGAATAAAATTGAGATTTACATAGAAACACAGCTGCTTTCAGCACTGAACCTACGGATTTGTTTTAATATGGAATTTTCACTACAGGTAACCTCTACTTTGCAATATTTTGTATGCTCAGGTTGTGAAATGTTACAGTACGTCTGGCATTCATAAGATCATACACTGACTTTGAATAGCCCTTGTTTACATTATTAATACAATGCTGAGCTACCACATGCTTAAATGATATAAATAAAATATATATTCTATATCTTCTAGGTCTGTGAGCTGGACCTAATATTTAATTTTGAGAAAGCATATTTTATCTTGGATGAATTTCTGATGGGTGGAGAAGTTCAGGAGACCTCCAAAGAGCTGGTGGTGCGAGCCATTGAGGATGCTGACATGTTACAAGAGGTAACCGAATATTAAGGTTAATATGCTAACCTTAAAGTTAGTAGTTGCCAATTCTTGCTTCCAAAACCCACAGTTCTCTGCATATTGTTTCTGCTTCTTTTGTTTCCTTGGGTTTTGTGATTATTAACATTCTTTATACATTCATTTGTCAAGTATTACTCATGCCTGCTGTTAGTTTAGTCATTTTTCAGATTTAATGGATTCCAGGGGCTGCCTTCCCTGTGTGGCCAGAAGGAATCCATCAAGACATATCGTGTTAAGGAACCAGTAAAACCTGCATAGCCAGACAACAGAAACCCAAGGGTGGATAAATGACAAAGTGCTTAAGTTTTATAAGGTGCTCTGGCCAGCTAAATTAACTTGATGGCATGCCTTATCAAGTTGAGCAAGTGCCAAAGCTAATGCAAGCACAAGGCCCCTTAGCTCTGGCAAGCTAACAGTCCTTGATATAGTCCTGGGATATCCAGCCCTAGACAGCTTGAAGAATGGAAATAGGACTTGGTTTTCTACAGAATTGATCCTCTATACTAAGATACGAAGCCATGGCCAGTTGAACAGAATCATGTCACTATAATCCCAAAAATTCAGTTTGGCACTTGGCATATCAATGGGAGATGAAGCAAACAAGCTATCCTACCCTGAGAAGGCCTTTAGTCTGCAAGGCCCAACCTGTGGCTAAGTTGGCAGAGCTTTAAGGACTTTTTTTTTTTACTGTATAACAAAAAAAGTACCGAAAATTTTGAAAAAAAACCTGTTCTCCCTACGTTATGTTATAAAACATTTATTATTACCCAATTTTTTGGTAAAATATAAAAGACGGGGTCATGTCGGGTAAATAGACACCAAACATGTCAAGCTTTAAAATTGCGCGCACCCATTAAATCGCAAAAAACTACCATACTCAAAATTGACCATAGCTGACGCTTTAAAAGCTTTTACCGCTCATCAGTTTAGTTTTATCAGTGATTGATGACCCTAGAACTATTGCTCTCATTCCGACGTTCGCGGCGATATGTAACATGTGCAGCGCAATGGATGTAATCAACGTTTTCGCACGTAGGCGGGCTTGACGCACGTTTGCATGTGGGGGCGGGGACTTTAATTTTTTTTATTATTCTAATATGCGATTTTTAATTTTTACATTTTTTTTGTAACAAATTTTTTTAAACCTTTTTTTTTTTCCACTGAACTTTATTGCTATCACATAGGGAGCAAACAAGCTCCCTATGTGATAGCCAATTTGCAGTGACAGGTCCTCTTTATGGAGACATCAGGGGTCTTTAAGACCCCTAATGTCACCTAGGGACCCCCAGAGAAGCTGATGAAGCAGAGACCTGCTTCACCAGCTTCTCTCCGGTTTCTTTAGCGGAGAGTGACAGAGGAAGAGATCAAGCGGAGATCGTGTACTGAGCTCCGTTTGATCTCCGGCCGCAGAACTGCTGTGCTTGTCCCGGGCTCACACCGGGAACAGCGGAGCCCGGGATCACCAGCAGCGGCGGCGATGGAGGGGGCGCACACCCGACCGCATATAAAAGCGATGCGCAAACTGTTGGCGCTATATAAATCCTGTATAATAATAATAATATTACAAGCGATCGGGCGTCTCTACAGACTCTGTTTACATTCAAAGCCGGTTTCCCGCTCGTGCACGCCGCCTAGCGGCGGGCACGAGCGGGACGGGATAGGACGTCTAAAGACGCCCACCCGCCCTGTCCGGCCGTTTTAATTACAATGGCCGGACAGCAGGTAGTTAAGGAGCCAAATATTGGTTGGCCAGTGGACTAAATAGTGCCAAATACTGAGGAACTAACTCCCAAGGGAATAGGCCATTTTGAGCAACAGACAAAGGACTATGTCCCAAGCCCTGGTCAGTTGAACAATGAGTTGTTTTACGGGATGGCCCTGTAACCCCATGCCCAGCCCTTCTCATTAAAGAATGGGAAGCTTTTAACTCAGGTGAAGTGGAAGCTTCATGAAAATAGTTCTAACTTGGAAAAGTTGTGCACTGCTAAAAATATTTGATTGGCACACGCTGAGACAAATCTAGGTATTCAGGTAACCAGTAAAGCTCAGAAATGTGAACTGGTTCCTAACTTTTGTCATCCCTGTGTATTGTCAGTGAAAAGAAACTATTCTCATAACTAAAACAATTGGGAACAAATAACTGCCAGCTCTGTTTTAAAGTGGAAATTGGATGAAAGTCCTGATGACCTTCCATAACTTACATTTACTAGATGTAATCCGTGTTAAATAAATACAACAGAAATGCAGACTTTGGAACAATTGTTTATCTTATTTCTGCAGACAATGGAAGAATACATGAACAAACCAACTTTTTAATCTGCGAAAAGGATTCTTTATCTTCTGTAACAAGAGCAGAGTCTATGCCGAGGATTTGTTTGGACAACCGAGATTCCAGGCAGACTTAGTGCTCTTGTTGAAGACATGGCACCGCTGGGCGGGCCACCTGCCAATGTGCAACAAGGGAACATGGAATCATGTCGGACATGAATACCAGGACTACCTTAGGAACCCGTTGCAGCAGCATGGACCTTAGCACACCCAATACACAGGGAACAAATGTATGCAAAGGAAATATTGCTTTTTAAATAACAAATAAAATATTTTTATATGTATATTTTGGGCTCTTGTAGTAATGAGAGAAGCCACAATTGGCACAATGTCACTGGTAATATAAAGAAAAAGATTTTCCTATTTTAATGGCAGCTTCCATTTTTTTCTGTTCTGTGTGAATTGTAACTTTTAATGGTGGGGGTTTGATGAAGTAAACTTTTTTTTTCAAATAGAGGTTTTGAGGAGAGGTCTTTTATATAAAAATAATAGTGGTGTAAAGCTGTACTCTAGGCCAGGAGTTCGATACACAAATGAAGTAGGGCTGTGGAAATTTAAAGATTAATTTGTCGATTAATCGTTAAACTTTTTGATCGCTAATGAAAACGCTCACCTCTCCGCCGGCTTCCTGAAGTCCCATCGGCGCTCTGGTGACGTCACGGACATAGACGTCACCGGACTCCTCCCCCCTTCCCCAAGTGGCTCCGTCGGCTAGTGAAGGGAAGGGGGGAGGAGTCCGGTGACGTCGATGTCCGTGACAGCTAACAAAGGGAAGGGGGGGGAGGAGCCCGGTGACGCCGATGTCTTCGTTAGCCAACAGAGCCACTTGGGCGCGGTGAGTTTGCCCAAGAAACTTTCTGCACCAGCCAAGGCATTGGCCTATACACATACAGCACAGCAATGAAGTAATAAAATGAACTAGGATCACACTAACCCAGCACGTTATTATTCTGAGTTGCCCCACTCAAGCGGCGGCCATATTGAGTGGGGCACGTGAGATTAATAACGTGCTGGATTAGTGTGATCCTAGTTCATTTTATTACTTCATTGCTGTGCTGTATGTGTATAGGCCAATGTAGTTGGATCTGTATGTGCATTATAATTAATCGAAATTAATCGATTTAATTGATTTTAAAAAAATTTCCATTAATCGAACACGAAAATGTTAATCATTACCAGCCCTAAAATGAAGTATATATGTGGTAGCTGTTTTACTTACCAAAGGATTTACATCTATGTCTAACCAATTCTGAGATTTACACAGCTCTTTCTGGCAGGGAAGGAGGCAAGTTTTTGTCTCTGCTGCAGTTCAGTAGCTCTTACAAGTATTCTCAATGCCCCCAGTCTGTGATCGAACATTGAAAGAAAAAAGAAGCTGCGGACTAACGAGCTCATCTCTGGCACTTTGCTCTCTCCGCCTATTAGCATGCTCCTTGCAGTGCTGCAGCCCAACTAACTGGCTTCCTGTGCTGCTTCTTCCTCCTGCAGACTAAACTCTGTTGTACAGGGACTGCCAGGGGCTGATACAAGGTCACACTTGGGTACTTACAATGCATGTATTTAAAAAAAAAAAAAATGTCATTATGTATGATGAATTTAGAGCTGTATTGAGTTCAGCTTTGGTAGTGTTTACAGTGGAAAGGTTATCAGAGAAACGCAGAATCTGCACGGATGTCTATATACAGCAGACCTTTTGTCTCTATATAACATTTACTGACTGGTTTAAATGATCACAAGGCACCCATAGTGTTTACCAGTCCAGTTTTTATGCCACTTTTTGCCTTGTCTTCATTAACTCCTTTAATTATCATCATTGATACAACTGATTTTTAAAAAAATATATATTTGAAGAGTAGTTCACAAAATGTTAAGTCCTAAGAACAGGTTTGGGAACCTGTGCCAAAATGTATGGAATGCAGTTATACTCTAGCCCAGGGGTAGGCAACCTGGGCTCTCCCACTGTGCTGAAACTACATATCCCATCATGCTTCTGTCTCTGGGAGTCATGCCTGTGGCTTGCAATGCCTTATGGGATTTGTAGTTTCAGCACAGCTGGAGAGCCAAGGTTGCCTACCTTGTCTAGCCTCTATAAAGCACATTACAAACTTTTAGGTGGGCTTCTGGAAAGCATATCGTGTGCCCCTTCTTTTGGCACATTTTAATGCAGGGCCTTAACCCACAAACCAATCAAAACTGAGATGTGAGCAGCCTTTAAATCCTTCAAAATATCAATCCATAGTTGTGGAGATGGAATTGTGTAGAATTTTTGTATTGAAGCACCCTAATAATTGGCACACAGTGGTGTTTGCTTTTAAATCCATTCTTCAACACCAGAAGACATTCAATTAGACCTTTTCTATAGGAAATCATTTTTTATGTAAGCGACTGGCAATGCAGCATTACATATTTAAGATTATGCACAACGCTAGATCAAACTGCGATAAAACAAATATTGAAGAAGTTTGGGGAGCGTAGACCATGCTAATGCTTACAGCCAAGACCAAAAGCTGACCAATCACTTGACCACTGATCAGACAGCAGAGAGCAGTGACTGTCATTCTCTGCCCCTTGCAAGGATCCCCCCCCCCTCCTCTCTGTTCCTCCAGATGGAGCTGCAGGCCAGGGAGGGGGCAGGCACGGCTTACTCTGGCTCTCAGTCGCATGCAGAGAGGCAGAACCAGCGGTCAATTAGGCAGCCGGGGTGGTTCCTGACAATATTTTTGGGATCCTTCTAGATAGCGGTGTGGCTCTACCCCATCAGTAATTAATAGTAATAACTGTACTGCTTTTTCAAGCTGCAAGGCTCCTGGACGTGATCAGGCCTTTAAGCAAGCTAGAAATCGAGAAGTGAGCGAACGCCGGTATGTGTTCACTCACTTCCCGATCTACTGAGCCGACCTGTGACAGTCTCATTGTCACAGGTCGGCTAGAACTATGAGGTGAGTGGAAATCACTCACCTCATAGTTCTCCTTTTAAGATGTTTGCAAAATGAGCATACAGTGTGGCCTGGCAGTGGGGGCAGTGGGGGTAAGCAATGCACTACAATGTGTCAACTAATGAGTTATATACAACAATAACATCACACAAATGTCACACAAATAACTCATACTAAACGAAGAGTTGTGCAGAAGAAAGACTCCAGGTTGACACAAAGGTCTGGTACTATCACATTAATTTCCATCTTGTCACCACCACAGCAAGTTCTTTCACATATTATTCCCTTCCCTGTGTCATTGTATAATCTGATCTATGAATATTTATGAACGTTCCTCTTGTGGGAGTGTATGCCCAAACGAACGTTCTTTAGTTTTTTCTTCACAAGCAGTTATTTTGTTTAAACTTTTTAAAGTAACATCACATCACGGCACCTAGATGGAGCTAAAGGACCATAGGAAATAAGTATTTATGTTCTATGGTCCCAACCGCCATCTAGTGGTCATTATGCGGTATTACATTAAACATTTGAAAATGCAGTGCCTTGTTAAGAAACAACTAATATCCTCACAGAGCGAACGTTCACAAATATTCATAGGGGCGAAGGGCTCTGCAGATAGTATATAAAAGACCCCACTGTGTGACCCCACTCAGAACCTTTTTATATTTCTCTACATTTAAGTAATGCATGTGTAGTAAATGTAATAACATATAAATAAAACGTAAACATGAAAAGCTCATTTAAGTTAAAGGAGAACTATGAGGTGAGTGCTTTTCACTCACCTCATAGTTCTAGCCGACCTGTGACAATGAAACTGTCACAGGTCGGCTCAGTAGATCGGGAAGTCTCTCTGCCGTGACAGGGGAGTGGCTGGATTCCCCCCTCCCTGCTCCGATCCTCCAGCGCTGACTGGAGGATCGGATCGGACGTGGGAGGGGCGGGTACAACTGGCATTGCCTCTAGATAGGCAGAGCCAGCCGTCACTCAGGCAGCTGGGCGGATCCAGACATAATTGTCGGGATCCGCTTCAGCTGCGGCGTCTCAGTATACCGCAAGCTGCAGCTCTCTATATACTGAGCTTAGGGTGACGGGAGGACGCTAGTTTGTGTCCTCCCGTTACCCTAAGGAGAACTATGGGGAAAAGCCTTAACCCCATGGTTCTCCTTTTCATATATGCTTTCTAACTCCCTCTCTTATTTGTTTGAATTATCAGAATGTCCATAAAAATCCAAGTTTGTTGAAGCAAGGTACGAAGACTCTGTAGGAAGCAGGGGGGAATCTTTGTGAAACATAAAGGAGTAGCAATAGGAGCATAGTTAGCGATATTTGAAGGTGTTTTGTCATTCCATGATCAGAGCAGCAATCAAATATCCAAAAATAGTAATAAGATAATAAGAACATTTATTTGATCAGTAAAGAGCATATCTGAAAAAAAAATAAGTATCACATTTCTATTCAACCGCTTCCCGTCTGGCCATGAAGGAATGGATAGTAGGCACAATTCCCAGGGTTTAACCACCTCCAGTCCGCCGAACGTTGAAAGACGGCCGGACAAATTCTCCTGGATGCGGGTGGGCGTCTTTAGACGTCCTTCATGCCCCCTGGCGCACACGAGCGGGAAACCGCCTGGATATTAAACGGCCAGCGATCTGTAAAGACGCCCGATCGCTTGTATGATCAGGTGAGGGTGCGCCCCCTCCTTACCTGCCGATGCTGTCACGCCGCCGCCGTCCCCGCGATCCTGGTCCTCCATCCATCCCGGGCAATGTGGCTCTGTGCACTGAGAACGGAGGGAGATCAGTACGCGATCTCCCTCCGCTCTCCTCCCGGTCTCTGAATGCAGGAAGTGATGTCTATTACACCACTTCCGCATTCCTCTGTCACTCTCCGGTACAGAAACCGGAGAGAAGCTGATGAAGCACATCTGTGCTTCAGCTTCTTTGGGGGTCCGTAGGTGACATTAGGGGTCTTAGAGACCCCTGATGTCTCCATAAAGGGGACCTGTAACTGTCATTTGTAATTACATAAGGTACTTCTTAGCACCCTATGTGATAACCATAAAGTTAAGTGTAAAAAGAAAAATTGCTCACAAAATAAATTAAATTTAAACACACACAAAACAAAAAAACTTCCTGTCCAGTACACGATCACAAAGGACAGAGCAGTCTCTAGCTGATGTTCATCTACTAGCTTAAGGAAAGGGAGGAGAGGGGAGCAGTGAGCAGGGAAGTGGCTTGCCTTGCTGTGCCTGTGTGATTGTGGAGGCGCACACAGCTTACTAGCACACACAAGGGTGGCTCCATAGGACTCTGTAATGGAAAGGGGTCACCCTAAAACAGGATATCAGG